CTGATCCACAAGTTACGTTGACTTCATTTCCTGGTTTAATATTATTATTTTTTCCAATCCGCACAATTCTGTCCTGGTTAACAATTTCATATTCACGTTCAGACTTGGCTTCTTTGTAGTTCACTAGGCACCAGAGCTGATTTTCGGCCGACATTTTCGGTGCTGTAAAAAGAAAATTATGAATTAGATATCAAATCCAAGAACAGTTATTTAGTTTCCAGTAAATTTATATTCTTCCTAAAATTATATTTTATAATGAGAGTAAAACATAAATCTTCTTAAAATAGTAGCTGGGCAACTACCTCGTCTCCACAAAATAATGTTATTCAATTACATTCAATATATAGCATGGGGATGTCAGGATATGTTTATAGAAGATGCGTTTTAATACTTATTCTGTTCATTCCTCTGAGTTCCATTTGGAAACCTTATAACATTTCTGTTGCACTCTGTACTTTGAATGTAATGACAATAATAAATAATAAACAAAATTGTACTTACTTAGGAGTATTTTAAATTGATGACAATTGATAGCAACGGACAGACGAACACCAAAAACTGATCTGGTTTGGAAAGCTAAAAGCTTCTTTTATAGACAATTCTTTCTAACTTTTGAACGAAAAAGTTGAAGCGAAGAAGTGCAACAAAAATCAACTTATTTTTCAAGCAACGAGTTGTAATTGCAAAAGTTATTTTTTAAATTTTAAACTGAAGATATAGATTCAAGCGAAATAATAAATGTCAAGACACGGACTGACTGACCAGTGTAAGCAAAGAGCTGCAATGGTTTGAACCAAGGGATGTTGGGTCAGAGGTTTATAGCATGGCACATCGTGCAATTTTTTGTGTGGAGGGGATTTCTTGAGTACCTGATAAATGTAAATACCAGGAAACTTACCCCCACGTAATTAGTTGACCATTTGGCAGAGCTGCATACAATTTTCATTTCTGTTCATGTTGTTCGGAGAACATAGTCAAGGATAATGTGTATATTCATAAAGTATTTTATACATTCTATCATTGGTGTCTGTCGAAAGTTTATCAATATTTGATACATATTTTCACCCCAATATGGATAATTACTCTTCATTCTTATTTATAATATAAATAAATTCTACTAAATGAACGTTTAAATGTATAATAAGTATGTTTTGGCAACGTTGTTAAAATGTCTACGTGATGTACCAAAACTCATCTGCTTTTCATGATCAACATTGAAAATAGAAAAAGCATAAGAAAAATATATATTCCCATTAGTTATTCTATGTTTTCTACTTGAATTATTTATTGTAATACAATTATTTAAATTAAACTGATAGATTAAGTTGAACATATGAATCTAATAAAATTTGCCGAGAAATTATCCACTTCGAATCAATTAAGGAAACCATATAATCACATGAAAATAATGGGTTAACAAGTACATTCTTGTATATGATCCTAAATATCTTTACTGAAGAATGATTTTGAATTCGAATTTTATTAATCTTGAATATTTGCATATAATTTAACACATATTAACTATAATAAATCATTTAGAATAAAGAACTTTGCTTTGAGCCGAATCCCGATCAATTTTTTTTGTGGGATTTCAGTTTAATAACCAAACTTTCATCGGCTCTAACTCAACTTTCATTGTAGAATGCAACTAAGACGAGGAAGAAAATTACCTAATGCAAGGGTACGTTTACCCTTTCCGTTTCAAAACCATTGGTGTAGCTGATGCTGTAAATACTTTTTTTGCAGCAAAAAGAACGTTTAGTTTATCTACCTGATGAAGTACTAAATATTAAGAAGTGTTCAGTAATGTATATTAACTAATGTATATTAACTAATGTATATTGAAATCTGTACATTTATTAAAGTATTTTAAAGTAATTTTAAATTATATAAAATATAATTTTCATCAAATATTTTTGCAAATTTATTAATTATAAATGCAATATAGAAGTAGTAAATAGTAGAAGTAATAAATGATCACATTAATAAGTTAAACAATTGAAACAATTCTAAACCGCTCAAGAAGAAACTTGCAAAAAGAAACGATAATTTATGCAAAAAACATAATTTTGTACACTGTTTCAGATTTTTATATGTTTCTTATTTATAATTTGGTTTTAAATCTGTTTTTTGTTTTAACTAATTAATAAATAAATATGAAAATAATGATTATTTTCTATAGAATTTTAGCATATTTATAAGTAATTAATAGAATACATTTTTTTTTTTATAAATTTTGTCTAAATATTTTGAAATAAAAAAAGTAAAAGAATTAATGATTATATAACTCCATTAAAATTGTCAAATAATCACTTTAAATTATCCCAAAATTATTTCTATTTTAAAACATTTAATATAAGTTATCTTTGTTTATTATAATAAGTTAAATTGTTTATTTAAATTAAGTACTCTGAAGTAAAATAATTATTATATATTTATTTCTGTTTACTTTTTGTACAAAAATTACAATAGACAATAATTATTATTAAAAAATATTGTTGTTAATTTTTGGTGATTATAAAAATATTAACTGTGACATAAAATAAAGATCAATTAAAATACAACAGTTATTATCATACTATTTATTAATTATAAAGATAATTATTGTAAAAATAACAGTATGAGCGTTCTCTAATATTTAAACAAAAAAAAAATATACATAAATTATTGTATAAACGTTTTAAAATTATAACAATTATGTTTGTTTAATCTTCTTTTGGCCATACATATTGCTCAGGTATCCTTGTGTTCGTTTACTTTCGGAACCTGACTTATTATCTTCGGAACCCGATATGCTCGTTCTGGTAAAGATATTCTTCGAACCAAACAGATTATTCGAATCATCTTGTCCATCATCCTCATCGCTGCTTAACGCTATATAATCATCGGCAACTGAAAACTGCTTACGTGTCGACAACAGTGAATTGTAAGTCGGACCTTGGTGAGTTATATCAGGAACACGTCCATGCTCCTGCTCGCTGTTTTGCATCTTCATCGTTCTCGAGTACAAATTGAAAGGATCTTCTGTTATGTTTTTTTTCTTCGGTCTTAAGGTCATTCTACTAAACATCTTCATTTTTTTTTTCTTTAATGAAACATCTGTGAACGTCTCATTGCTTGATAAAATTGAATTCTCTTTTTCAGCATTATATCGTTTACTGTACTTTCTATACATTTTTCTAGATGCATTAATTATGTTTTTCCCTCTTTCTTTTATACTGGTTATAGACTTTTCTTGCTCTTTACGAAATTGCTCCGAAAGTTTGTTCTTTAAATTAAGCAAATACACTATATCATCTGCAAAATCAATAAAAAAATATACTTATAAAAATTTGTAAAATTGTGTATAATTACTTGAAATATGCACTATAATTGCGTCACGAATAATATCATTGCATTTCACAACGATTGTATTTCCTACAACCAGATCTTCTCTGTGGCTGAGAATGGTTTTAGGGCCTTTGATGTCGTATCTAAATGTATCGTATAGTATCAATTTGACTAACATATACACATCACTTATCTCGTCGAGGTCGTAAATAGTTGTATTGTTCAAAGAATCTGCGAGCATAAAAATTATATTCAAATAAATTAGCAATTATTGACTTACCCATGATGTCTAAAGTATACTGTAACAATGATTATTTATATGATTATTTTATCTTAAAATTTGTTAAAATACAATTTTGCTAGCATTCCAAGCCTTGTGTTAATATTTCATATTAGTATTTAACAAACACAGGCAAGATAAAGATAGGTGAATTTTAATAAGGTAAAATTATTAAAATTTAATAAATAACACATGTACGCGAACAATGAATAAAATTCTGAGGTTGGATTCACACAGAAATACGAGAGTGTTGCCGATCTGAAAAAAGAAGTAAACGATAATTTTTTTGAGTTTGTGTGTATATTTTGAAATAAATTATTTTTATATACTGATTATTCTTGAATAAAAGTGAAAACGTTAGCTTTTATACAAAGCTTTATGAATGACAGTCAGGAATACCAATATCACTGTGATTTAGGTCATATTGATTTAGGTTATAACTAGTAATTGGTACAATTGCTTGTCATTTCTTTTATATATCACACAGAGTTTATATTTCAATTTTGCTCTACACATATGTCATTCAAGTATTTATAATTTACTTTTCTACTACATTTGTAGCTCACTACCTAATACATATGAAGAATTATGTAAATACCTTTAGATATTTTTGTTGTTGACTAAGTATGACATTTTTTATTTGTATTGTTTGTCGTCTAATGTATACAAAAATAAATGTTAATAAGAAGTCTTTTATCAACATTCTAAAACATCTTAATATAATTTAAAAGTTTCCTATCGGTATTCCCGGGAAATTTCCCGTTTTCCGGGAAAAAAGAAATAGTAGTAATCCTCGTCAACAATGAAATTAATGCCTGTATATTTTATTTTAATTAAAGTGGAATTCTATAAGTCATAGCCGAAATTTTAAAGCGTTAAACGTAAAAGAATTAAATTATGCATAAAATGTATACAAGTCAACGAGAAATAGGTTGAAAAATATTTGATTTTTTTTATTAATATTTTTTATTTATTGTTTAATGCGGTGATATACATAGAAATATTAAGATCAAAATAAGTTATTAAATATTAAGTAGACACTGCTCATTTCTTGGTTCGTTTTTTAAGTTGATTCTGAAGTTTCTTCCAAATCTTATTCTCCTCCGCACATTTCGAACTTATAACAGCTCGAACTGAAGAACTCCTAACTTTTTCACATTTCTCGCAAACTAAATGTACTATATCTTCGATTATTCTTGAATCTAAATGTTTCTCAAGAAGATTATCGTTTTTAAAAGATGATTTCTCCAATCCATGAGTCCCTAAAGTTACTTTACTAAACAAAGCCATCAACAATTCTCGTGTAGCAATTTTGTAACAACGCCAGTTAATATTGTTATAAATAGACTTATTTATTAAACTCTTGTTTAGTCCGAAACTAACAAACTCATCTTTATCCTTTTGCACCGTACGTTTCCTCTTTAAAGAGTTAGTATCTTCCACTTTTATATCTTTCACTTCTACATCCATAATTTGCTCATCACTTAATTGAATATTAACATTTTCATCGACATCTTGGATTTCCGGCTTACAGAAATTCTTACGTAATGCTGAAAAGATAAAAAGTAATTAATATACAAATATGTATTTAATTATTTTATATGTTACTTACACGAAATAAAAATTAACGTTCCTTCTAGTACATCGCCATTTTTAGATCTAAACAACAGTGTTTTTTCCAGCTTTATTTTTCTGGTATCGCTTACAACGTCTCCATAATTAATAATATAAGAAATATTATCACCAGTCACCACGTAGAGGTCGCATTCTGAGTAGTCCTCTACTGTGCTTATAATTTCAATAGTTTTCGGAGCTGCAAAATTTTTTAACTATTTGATAAAGACAAAAAATATACATATTAATACAAACTTACCCATTACGATCAGAACGAGATGTTTCTTTTTTGCAAACAAAATATAATGTTCCTTCTTTGGAAAGAAAATGTAAACTAAAGGTAAAAATTTAAGTATTGCGTTTATATACGAAAATCCTAATACTTCACTTTAAAATTATTGCAGGTAATACTTTTGTAAAAGTATTGTTTTATTGGTGCCATAAAATTGAATTCTTAGAATTTTAATATACTACTTGCGATTTTCTTTTATATTTTTTCTGAGTTTCTTGTAAATAATTTAATTCAGTTTTCTCTTATTGGAAATCCCTTAAATACAATTTTTTACCAATTTGGATTATCTAAAAAAAATGTTTTTGACCACAATTGTTATCATTCCAATTGGATGATTTTCTAGTCTTGTTGTCTATTGTACAAAAAAATAATTCAATGACATATTATTACAATTTCAATGATTTCAGTTTCGGAATTTCCGGAAAATTTTCCGTTTCCCGGGTACAAAACAATATAATAAATAATACTTGTAAACTTCTATAATCCACAGCCAAAATTTTAAATTATTGAACGTGAAAGAATTCAATTATTTTGTAAAAAAGTTCAATGAACAAAAAAAAAGGTTGATAAATATTGATTTAAGGTTTGATTTTTTATTGATTAATAAATGGGGTGCTTTACATAGAAATATTAAGATCGTAACAAATTATTAAATATTAAATAGTCACTGCTGATTTCTTGGTTCATTTTTTAAGTTTATTCTGAAGTTTCTTCCAAATCTTATTCTCCTCCGAACATTTAGAATTTATTACAGCTCGAACTAAAGAACTCCTAACTTTTTCGCATTTATCGCAAACTAAATGTAAACTAGGTTGAAAAATATTCAGATTTTTTATTTATTAATAAATGTGGTGATTTACATAGAAATATTAAGATCTTAACAAGTTATTAAATATTACATTACCACTGCTCATTTCTTTGTTCGTTTTTTAAGTTGATTCTGAAGTTTCTTCCAAATCTTATACTCCTCCGAACATTTCGAACTTATAACAGCTCGAACTGATGAACTCCTAACTTTTTCGCATTTCTCGCAAACTAAATGTATTATATCTTCTATTATTCTTGAATCTAAATGTTTCTCAAGAAGATTATCGTTTCTAAACGATGATTTCTCCAATCCATGAGTCCCCAAAGTTACTTTACTAAACAACGCCATCAACAATTCGCGTGTAGCAATTTTGTAACAACGCCAGTTAATATTGTTATAAATAGACTTATTTATTAAACTCTTATTTAGTCCGAAACTAACAAACTCATCTTTATCCTTTTGCACCTTACGTTTTCTCTTTAAAGAGTTAGTATCTTCCACTTTTGTATCTTTGTCAATATCTTTGACTTCTACATCCATTATTTCCTCATCACTTAATTGAATATTAACATTTTCATCGACATCTTGGATTTCCAGTTTACATAAACCCTTTTGTAATGCTGAAAAGATAAAAAGTAATAATTAAACACATATGTCTTTAGATAGTATATATATTACTTACACGAAATGAAAATTAACGTTCCTTCCAGTACATCACCATTTTTAGATCTAAACCACAGTGTTTTTTCCAGCTTTATTTTACTGGTATCGCTCACAACGTCTCCATAATTAATAATATAAGAAATCTGATCACCAGTCACCACGTAGAGGTCACATTCTGAGTAGTCCTCTATTGTGCTTAAAATTTCAATAGTTTTCGGAGCTGCAAAAATATTAACTATTTATAAAGACAAAAAATATACATTTTAATACAAACTTACCCATTACGATCAGAACGAGATGTTTCTTTTTTGCAAACAAAATGTAATGTTTCTACTTTGGAAAGAAAATGTAAACTGAAGGCAAAAATTTAAGTATTGCGTTTATATACGAAAATCCTAATACTTCACTTTAAAATTATTGCAGGTAATACTTTTGTAAGAGTATTGTTTTATTGGTGCCATAAAATTGAATTCTTAGAATTTTAAATATACTACTTGCGATTTTCAATTATATTTTGTCTCAGTTTCTTGTAAATAATTTAATTCAGCTTTGTCTTCTTAGAAATCCCTTAACTACAATTTTTACCAATTTGGATTGTCTAGAAAAAAATGTTTTTGACCACAATTGGATAATCAATGCTAAAATTTTTATAATCGCCAGAATTATTGACTAAGAATATGATTTTTTAGTCTTGTTGTCTATTGTACAAAAAATAATTCAATGACATATTATAACAATTTCAATGTTTTCAGTCTCGGAATTCCCGGGAAATTTTCCGTTTCCCGGGTACAAAACAATATAATAATTAATACTTGTAAACTTCTATAATCCACAGCCTAAATTTTAAATCATTGAAAGTGAAAGGATTAAATTATTTTGTAAAAAAGTTCAATGAATAAAGAAAAAAAGTTTGAAAAATATTGATTTAAGAATTGATTTTTTATTTACTAATAAATGCGGTGCTTTGCATAGAATTATTAAAATCGTAACAAGTTATTAAATAACCACCGCTCATTTCCTTGTTCGTTTTTTAAGTTGATTCTGAAGTTTCTTCCAAATCTTATTCTCCTCCGAACATTTCGAACTTATAACAGCTCGAACTGAAGAACTCCTAACTTTTTCGCATTTCTCGCAAACTAAATGTATTATATCTTCGATTATTCTTGAATCTAAGTATTTCTCAAGATGTTTTTCTTTTCTAAACAATTGTTTCTTGAATCCATGAGTCCCCAAAGTTACTTTACTAAACAAAGCCATCAACAATTCACGTGTAGCAATTTTGTAACAACTCCAGTTAATAGTCTTATAAATAGACTTATTTATCAAACTCTTGTTTAGTCCGAAACTAACAAACTCATCTTTATCCTTTTGAACCTTACGTTTCCTCTTTAAAGAGTTAGTATCTTCCACTTTTGTATCTTCTTCAATATACTTCACTTCTACTTCCATCATTTCCTCATCACTTAATTGAATTTTATCATATTCATAGACATCTTGAATATCGGGCTTATAGAAATCCTTATGTAATGCTGAAAAGATAAAAAGTAATAATTAAACACATATGTTTTTAGATATTTTATATGTTACTTACTCGAAATGAAAATTAACGTTCCTTCTAGTACATCACCATTTTTAGATCTAAACAACAGTTTTTTTTCTAGCTGTATTTTCCTGGTATCGCTTACAACGTCTCTATAATTAATAATATAAGAAATCTTATCACCAGTCACCACGAAGAGGTCGCATTCTGTGTAATCCTCTACTGTGCTTAAAATTTCAATAGTTTTCGGAGCTGTAAAAACAAGTAACTATTAAATACAGACAAAAAAATATACATTTTAATATGAACTTACCCATTACGATCAGCACGAATTGTTTCTATTTTTTTCAAACAAAATTTAAACTAAGTATGTTAAGTCTAGTTTGTGATATTTCTTTTTTGCAAAGAAAATGTAAACTGAAGATAAAAATTTTAGTTTTGCGTTTATTACAGGTACTAATTTTATATGGGTATTGTTTTGTTGGGTTTATGCAAACTTATAAAAAACAATTGAGAATTATTTTTTATTGATGGTACTTGAATTCTTGGAATTTTGAAAACTACTAATAGTGATTTTCTATTATATTTTTTCTCAGTTTGTTGTAAACAATTTACTGCAGTTTTCTCTTCTTGGAAATCCCTTAAATTCAATTTTTACCAATTTGGATTATCAAAAAAAAAATTGTTGACGTCAATCGTTTTCATTAAAATTGGCTAATCAATGCTATTTTTTTTTATAATCGCTAAGAATGTACAAGTAGAAAAATTAATGAATTCGTTACAAAACTAACTATAAGAAATTTACTAAAAAAATGCAGAACAACACGATTAGGAAAAGTTTACAGTAATACCTCGCATAGTCCGGGTAATAGTCTCACTAATATCCCGGATTGTTTAAAATCGCACTAATCGAGAAACTGAAAACTTATATATAAAAATTGATTTTCTTTACTTAGTTTTTTATAACTTTTATTTTATTAAATTAAAATTTAGTTTTTTTCTGAAATTTCTTAAGATTTAAATTTAATTTTTCTAACGTTTAAATATAATTTAATATCACTCAACTTTCTAACAAATTCTCACAAACAAAAAAAAACAATAAAATCTTGGTTTATTTATTGAATAGATTTTTTAAATGAATTCACTGCAAATATCAAAAAAAAATATATTGGGAACGAACAAAATGAAACGTATATTTTTCGAATATTTTAAAAATCGAATTTATTTATTTATTATTAGCATATTAAATATATGCTTTGAAATATTAATAAATAAAACATAAAATGAATTATAAGTACATTGTAACTTTAATACGAAATTTTAAAGTATTTGCTTGCATCAATCGATTTTATAGGTAAAACATTACCAAATATCTTCGAAGTATTCTGACTTTTTAGAGTCATTTTATTAAAACTATATTATTCTCTGATAATTATTTCTATTTGTAACCATTGATTCTCAAATTCAATGGAAGTTAATTGTGGTTTTTAACTGATTGATTTTAAGTCCTAACAATTCCCTAACAAATCTACATTTAACAATTGTTAAAAAAAAGATTTTTTTTAGCTTTCTCACCAAATTACATTAACATTCATTACTTGATAATTTTCTTCTTTTCTCTGAATTTTGATTATTTTGTGTATCGTCATCTTGTCTTTCTCGTTTAAATTTGCTTTTAAAATATTGATTTTGTAATTCATTTTTATACGTCACCAACCTAGAAAGTATGTCTGAAAAAGTACAATTAGTATTCGAATTCAATTAAAAATGATATAACAAATACCCACCAGAAACCGATTTTATAATGGCCTTACAAGCAAACTCATCTTCTAATATCACCAAAACGGGTATCTCCGGCTTCAAAACATTATGTTTGCTTAAGATTTGATCATAATTGACGATTTTAAAAGATTTACAATCACTTTTGATAATTTCCACTAAAGCGTAGAATTGATAGTCTTCGTTATTTTCAGTGAAACTGATGTTGTCATCTATTGAATAAAAATTAGTATTCGTATCTTAAGAATAATTTCATTATTTTTTAAATTATTATTGGACGAAACTATTACATTTTATTGGTTATCATTTTTACATATACTCGCATAGTACAGCTTCAATCTCGATTAGTCCGGTTTCAAACAGTATTTTGTCAATTATCCGAACTATGAGAGTTATTGCTGTATTCAAATCATATACATTTATGTACACAATCAAATGAAATTATATTAATAAATTCTGATATTTAAACCAAATTTTTGTTTAAATAAATAATTTAAAAGACTATTGTTTTTACCTTATTGTAAAATATTTTACAATTTTAACTATTAATATTAATTAAACAGAATACTTACTCATTTTAATGATGTTTCACTTAATTAATTGTAAATTACAATTACAAAGTTCAATTACAATACAAAAAAAAAATACACTTATGAAACAAAAAAATATTTTAACATATTTTGAAAGCTATTCTCGTACAAAGAGTATTAGTATTCAAAGAATATATTTTGTTTGCTATACAAAAAAAAATACTTCATTTTGGATATTTAACAAAAAATAAACCAAATTCGAGAAGGAACGTAAAATTTAAAATTATTCCTTTGAAATCTTTATATTTTATCAATCCAAAATTTATCATTTCTCTCTATACTGAATAGTAAGGATTTATATTTGTTTCGGTGGTGATTACGCAATTATATTAATTGTAGGCTAATTAAAAGACAGATATTTATTTTCTACAAATAATTTCTTACACATTACAAAAAATGTTTATGTTACATAATGATTTTGTTTGTGATCATTGAATTATAAATATTTTCCTTTATATAAATATAAATATTTGTAGTTATTCTAATTGTTGCTTAAAATTTTTCCAATATACAGCTAAATGAATATTCTTCATTTCAGTATTATTTAGGTTTAATAAATCTTTGGAATTATTGCGTTTCTCAATTTTGCTCAATTTTTTACCTGTAAAAGAAAAATTCTTAATTAACTTACAGTTTCATAAAATTCATAAAACAATATTCAAATAGTAAAGTAAAACATATTATTTTTATATTTACTAGATTACATAGTAATTAAAACTGATAAAAGATAAATTATATTTAATTTTTAGAATCTCATTTTCTTTTAAATTATTTCAATTTAATTAAAACTTGATTGTTGCATTACCGTTTTTATTATTTGTACGTTTCTTGGGATTTCTTAATTTTACTTTTTTAGGTAAATTTACGTTATTAATCGTCTCTAAATTGATCGGTTCTCGTGTAACATTATTTGGAAGTCCATTTTCGAGTTCAATTTTTCTCATCAGCAATCTGCTAAGTTTATCTAAAAGGATTTAATTATGTAATTTGACTTTAATTGAAGATTTCAATAACAAAATATACGAACCAGATATAGATTTTATAACACCTTTACGCGCAAGTCCATCTTCAAAAGTCACGACCACCGGAATCTCCAACTTCATAACACTATATTTGCTTATAATTTTATCGCAATTGACGATTTGATATGAAGTTTTCCCATTCTCAACAACCTCTACAAGAGCAAGAGCTTTAGCTTTGCTGTAGTAATCAGACAAATAATCTAAAAACGGAAAATTAGTATAAATATCTTAAATTTAGTTTCAACTTTACTAACCCATTTTTGTTTCTAAAATTTAATACTAAAGCTTAGATACCTTAATATGACACCAATGATAACAAACTAACTCTAACTCTGCTTTTCTGAACTGAATGTTTATGTAGATTTGTGAATTACTGTATAGTGAAAATATTTACAAATTGATTGTATACAAATTCACAAGTGATTAAAACGTAATTTTGAAAATAAGATAATATAAATGCAATAATATTATAAATATTCCGGGCCGAAACATACAAATCTGATAAGTAAATATTAATATTATATAATATTGCCTAAGAATGGTGTGTCATGAATATTGAAGAAAATAGTAATAAATTAGAATTAAACTATGAACACTAAACAAAAATTATAATTGATAATGGTTTATAATTTTGGTTTGTATGTTATTTTGTTTCAAATAAAAATCTAGAACAAAAAATATATATTCATATATACATCTGTCCAAAGTGCCCTAAATTTTATTCATTTTCATTATTTGCTTTACTAATATGACTGTTTAATGAAGAAATCCTATTGAATTTCGAGTATTGGGAAATACTCTTTAGGTAAAAAAAAACCGGTTTCATCCTAACCGTCCTTTTGGACAGGGATCCTACCCATCCCTTTTGGGTAATAGAAAATTTGTGGCAAATATAACAGGTATAAATTCTCTGAAAGACCGAACCATAGATAATTCTGTAAAACACGTGCAATGCACATTTTTTACATCTATGCCCAAAAATATTCCTGCTTGGACTTGTTTCGTAATTATTTACATTGATTATATTTGTAGGAAAAAAAAGGAAAAAAAATTAAATAATTATATTAAAGAATAAATTCGAAATGAAAGGAAATACAGCAAATTTTGCAATGATCTTATTGGGTATTATATTGTTGTATATTTATTAAGTACAACACTTAGTAAATCCTGAAATTTTCACAATATAACAATAAAATAACCCATAATTAATAAAATTAGAAAATATTAATTATTTATTTAGTAATTATTTCATTCCAGATTTTAACATAAAAAACTGATCTAAGGTATATACTTGTTTATCAATAAATTAAATAGCACGTAAAAAAATAATACAAAATACATCATTTTATATTGGAGCACTCGTATTACAATGTGCTCTAATTGTAGATAATATAAATACAATAATATTATGAATATCTCGGGCAGAAACATACAAATCTGCTAAGTAAATATTAATAATGCCTAAAAATGGTTTGTTATGAATATTGAAGAAAATAGTAATAAATTATAATTAAACCATAAACACTAGACAACTAATTTTTGTTTGTTATGAATTGATACGTTGTTATCATTATTTTGTTCTCTGTGGCTTTTAAATAAAAATCCAGAACAAAAGAAATTATATGCATATATACATCTGTCCAAAGTGCCCTAACTTTTATTCATTTTCATTATTTTTGTATATTAAAATCGTATTATTGTTTGCATTACTAATATGACTGTTTAATTAAGAAATCATATTGAATTTCGGTATTGGGAGATACTCTTTAGGTAAAAAACCGGTTTCATCCTAACCGTCTTTTTGGACAAGGATCCTATTGGGTAGGTAAGAAATAGAAAATTTATGGCAAATATAGCAGGTAGAAATAGGCTGAAACACCCAACAATAATTCTGTAAAACACGTGCAATGCACATTTTTACATCTATGCTCAAATATATTCCTGTTTGGACTTGTTTCGTAATTATTTACATTGAATATATTTGTAGAAATACAGCAATACCTCGAGTAGTGCGGGTTCCATTCTTATCGGAATTTGAAGCCGGACTAATTGAAGAAAGAAAAACAATTAAATAATTATATTAAAGAATAAATTCGAAATGAAAGGAAATACAGCAAATTTTGCAATGATCTTATTGGGTATTATATTGTTGTATATTTATTAAGTATAACCTATTATTCAAGGCATGGTTTCCCAAATTTTTCCTGCAACGGAACACTTCATTAATCGAAATTTTCACAATTTAACCATAATATAACCCTTAATCAATAAAATTAGTAAAGATTAGAAAAACATCAATTATTTATTTAGTAATTATTTCATTCCAGATTTTAACATAAAAAACTCATCTAAGGTATGTAGGTATGTACTTATTTAAAAATAAATTAAATAGAACTTAAAAAATAATACAAAATACATCATTTTATATTGGAGCACTTTTATTACAATATGCTGTAATTGCAGATAATATAAATGCAATAATATTATGAATATCTCGGGCAGAAACATACAAATCTGCTAAGTAAATATTAATAATGCCTAAAAATGGTGTGTTATGAATATTGAAGAAAATAGTAATAAATTAAAATTAAACCATAAACACTAGACAACTAATTTTTGTTTGTTATGAATTGATACGTTGTTATCATTATTTTGTTCTCTGTTGCTTTCAAATAAAAATCCAGAACAAAAGAAATTATATTCATATATACATCAGTCCAAAGTGTCCTAAATTTTATTCATTTTCATTATTTTTGTATATTAAAATCGTATTCTTGTTTGCTTTACTAATATGACAGTTTAATTAAGAAATCATATTGAATTTCGAGTATTAGGAGATACTCTTTAGGTAACAAATCGGTTTCATCCTAACCGTTAAGATGAAACCGTTTTTTTTTACCTAAATTCTAACCGTCTTTTTGGACAGGAATCTTATACATTCCTTTTAGGTAGGTAAGAAATAGAAAGTTTCTGGCAAATATAGCAGGTATAAATTCGTTGAAAGACCCAACCATAGATAATTCTGTAAAACACGTGCAATGCACATTTTTTACATCCATGCTCAAATATATTCCTGTTTGGACTTGTTTCGTAATTATTTACATTGATTATATTTGTAGAAATACAGCATTACCTCGAGTAGTGCGGGTTCCATCCTTATTGGAGTTTGAAGCCGGACTAATTGAGGAAAGAAAAAAAAATTAATTATATTAAAGAATAAATTCGAAATGAAAGGAAATACAGAAAATTTTGCAATGATCTTATTGGGTATTATATTCTTGTATATTTATTAAGTATAACCTATTATTCAAGGCAGGGTTTTTCAAATTTTTCCTGCAACGGAACACTTCGTAAATCGAAATTTTCACAATATAACCATAATATAACCGATAATCAATAAAATTAGAAAATATTAGAAGAACATTAATTATTTATTTAGTAATTATTTCATTCCAGATTTTAACATAAAAATTCATCTAAGGTATGTAATTATTTAACAATAAATTAAATAGAACGTAAAAAATAATACCAAATACATCATTTTATATTGGAGCACTCTATTACAATGTGCTCTAATTTCAGATAATATAAATGCAATAATATTGTGAATATCTCGGGCAGATACTTACAAATCTGTTAAGTAAATATTAATATTATATAATATTGCCTAAAAATGGTGTGTTATGAATATTGAAGAAAATAGTAATAAATTAGAATTAAACCATGAACACTAAACAAAAACTATAATTGATAATGGTTTATAATTTTTGTTTATTATGAATTGATACGTTATTATCATTATTTTGTTCTCTGTGGCTTTGAAATAAAAATCCAGAAAAAAAGAAATTATATTCATGTATATATCTGTCCAAAGTGCCCTAAATTTTATTTATTTTCATTATTTTTGTATATTGAAATCGTATTATTGTTTCCTTTACTAATATGACTGTTTAATTAAGAAATCATATTGAATTTCGACTATTAGGAGATACTCTTTAGGTAACAAATCGGTTTCATTCTAACCGTTAAGATGAAACCGTTTTTTTTACCTAAATAAACGGTTTCATCCTAATCGTCTTTTTGGAAAGAAAATTTGTGGCAAATATAGCAGGTATAAATTCGTTGAAAGACCCAACCATAGATAATTCTGTAAAACACGTGCAATGCACATTTTTTACATCCATGCCCAAAAATATTCCTGTTTGGAATTGTTTCGTAATTATTTACATTGATTATATTTGTAGAATTACAGCATTACTTCGAGTAGTGTCTCGGACTAATTGAGGAAAGGAAAAAAAATAATAATTATATTAAAGAATAAATACAGCAAATTTTGGAAAGGAAAGTAAATAAAGCAAATTTTGCAATGAGCTTATTGAGTATTACATTGCTGTATATTTATTAAGTATAGCCTATTATCCAAGGCAGGGTTTCCCAAACTTCTCCTGCAACGGAACACTTCGTAAATCCTGAAATTTTGACATAATAACCTATAATTAATAAAATTTTAAAAAATTAGAAAAACATTAATTATTTATTTACTAATTATTTCATTACAGATTTTAACTTAAAAACTGATCTAAGGTATGTAACTTAAATAAATGTACAAAATAATACAAAATACATCATTTTATATTGGAGCACTCTATAAAAATGTGCTCTAAATGTAAAGGCGTCGGTACAATCGGTCAATCTGGCGAAAGTTCATGCTTTGAGGCCCTCATATTTATGTCCGGGACCTCAAAATCCAAAGGATAATCCTGTCTAAAAGCTACAGAAACGTACAAAGTATATGATTAAAATGAGCGTCCGTTGGCTGTATCACGAAAATCCGATACGAAAAAGTTGGTATGATCCTCAAAACCGACAAAGCATTGTTGGGGCTGATAAACCCGAAAGGGGATAGAAAAAATAATATATGACAAAATCATACAACTTAATACATATACTATCAACCTCACTAGAGAGCTTATTTTCAGATCAAGATCCAAAAATTATGCTAACACTAATAACATTAATTGACAAGTTCAAGGTACCCATTTAAAAATGGTACATATGGTTGCATATTAACTTCCGGACAGAGTTTAAACTATCCCTCCTGTAACCAGAGTCACTGCTCAGACATTGGGGTTCCCGAACCAGGAAATTTTACAATAGTATTTAAAATAGATTATTGTTTTTTAGTATAGTTAAAGCCCTCTAAAAATAGTTTGTCCCAACTATCCTTACACCACCATTGTCCCAACTATCCTTACACCACCATTGTCCCAGCTGCTAAAAGAATCTATTCATTTTTTCTTATTCTTTTTAAACACCACTTTCCTCACTTAGCTTATGAATAGCACAGTTTCTACCGTGTATTTAAAAAAGGAAAAAGAAACAGAGATCTAGGACGAAATTTAAAAAATATTCAAATCGGGAGTCTGCGGTCCAGAACATTTGAACTGGGCTAAGTCTCAGGTGGACTATGAGTCTGTGAAGGACTTAACCCGCAACCAAATGCACAGAGCAGCACGCAGGATTGAAATTAATCGAATGGTATACTTATATATAGATTGTGCCTATTAACTGAAATATAAAATGACTTAGGCTGTTATAATTGTGTCAGTTTGACGCAATTTATTGACTGAATCAATGTTAAACTCATCAAGAGATTTTCTCTTAATACTACGGATATTAACTGTGAAATTTAGAGCAGAAAAATCAACACTTGCATATTTGCTTTTGAATTTACTTTCTTGAATCACTTATTATATTAATTATACATAATTCATTACAAATAAAACATTATTATTCAATTAAATATTACATTTTATTATCTATACTTAAATTATACTAAATTTACAAGTTTTATTTATGTAATTATTTATATTACAAACGCCTAATATTTAATACGTTGTTTAAAACAATCTACAAGTATAAAACTGAAGTTTATTTAACTATGAACAAATTGATAAGAATAACGTTTTATCAAGGTTTTTCTTCATATTTATAAATAAATAACGTAGCTATTTCATAATGTTCCTATTTACATAAAAATACTCATACATCGAATCCTTCTCAGCATGGATTTTCATCCTTTTACTCACATTTCCACATTTGTATGCTATAGCAGTTCTGACAAGTGTAGGTGTGCATTTGCATTTCTCACAAACTACAGAAATGATGTCTTCTATAATTTTGACGTTTAATACCGGTTTAGGTGATTTGATTCGTTGCATAAACTTAGTCCCTTCTTTCGCACTAAGGCTGTGAGTGGCCAAAACATTTTTAGGAAATATTTCGAGCAATAACCTACGTGTCGCCAGTTTATAACAAGTCCAATCAATCGAGAAAAACACGTCCTTAGGAATACGTGTATTATTTTGTCCAAAATATATATATTTCGATGATATTCCTATAGATTCTTCAACAAAATTTAGATTATTTTCTTTACTTTTGTCATAAATAATATTTTGTAGTTCTTTCGTTTTATTACAATAAGATTGTTCAATGTTATTGTTTTCTTTTGTGTTTAGTGAATGTTCTTTCTGGATGTTTTCTTGGGTCTGATGATGAAAGTTTTCATTAAGAAAAATTGGCTTGTCTAAAACTTTACTTTTTAGTTCAAAATTTAAACTCTTCCTAGCCGAAGATTTCAGTATAGAAATTTTTTCTAGACCCAAACTGGTTATATCATCTAAAATTGATAAATTTAAACATCATTTGATAATTAATAAAAACAGGTTATTTTTATTAATCTGTAAACCGGTTTTAGAAAATCGTTAATATTTTGACTTCCAAAAGTATTTTCTAAGAAATGTCTCTACCGAAAATACTGAAAACCGGTTTTTATTACATTACTTCTACTTACCAGATATTGAAATGATACTCGCTTCTTTCGTTATGATTCCACATATTACGGATACTGTATCACCTTCTCTCACAGTCTCTTTATTACACAATACCGACTTGCTGCTAACCACTTCGTAAATGAAAGTATTATTAATATTATATTGTATTAACATATATTTCTTGGACGCATAACCTAATATACAAAACAGTTATAATTTAGATCTGTAAAGGTATTAACAGATATATTTACCCATGGTTAATTGTATTTTGCATTCAAATTTTATAATTTTCAATTTAATACAAGTAACATATTCAAATTAGCACAAATTATAAATAGTTTTACATTATTCGAATACAGAATCAGTGCATTGTCAAGAGTGTAAAATACGACTAAATCCGACCTTGAAATACCACCCAGTTAACAAAAACTAAATGTGTCGTTTGTTTTTATAAAATCTGTTCATTAAATTACAAAAATAAGTAACAATTATTTTGATATTTTTACTATTTTAATTTCTAAATAAAATGTTGAGATTTTATATTATGTGAATTGTCTCTGTTCTTGTTTTTAGTCCAATTAAATTTGTGTTAATTAAAGTTATAAATAACAAATATTGATTTTTTTTAAATCTGTCTTTTACAAATGTTGGTCTTAATTTGGAGCTAACTAATATCTTTATGTCCTTTTTTTTATTATTTCTAATATTTTATATATAAATTGAAAATAATGAAAGAAAATAAGGATGGATTAAGTTGGATGCAGGTTATAATAATTCAGTTCAGTTCTGATCCTTTATTGAAATTGACTGAAAGTTCATCACATTTGGTACTTTTAAAACCACATTTGTCTTTAGTTATGTATTTAAAATTTGACTACACAAAACAAAATCTATTAACACAATTATTTTTCATTGCGTTTAACCGTAATTCTGTACTGTTCTGTACAATTCGTTTTGTACAAGATGCGCAAACTATTTAGAACTGTAATTTTGCATCTTCTAATAGCGATATTTAGAAAATCACGAACAACTCTCACATCCCTTGAAAAGGAATTTCGAATGTTCGTCGCATTTTCTTTCCTCCTCTTCATGCAAAAGCAGTGAGTGACTATAATCCTCTTATTAAAAACAATCATTACCAAAAACTTATTCTTAGATTGGTAATTTAATATCTTCAAAACTATTTTATATGGACCGAAGATAAATAAATCTTTCTCAAATGTTTTCAAAACTTTTTCAGTAATTCTGTTAAAAAAACTGCTTAGTATATTTCTCATCTGATTTATTTTCGATTCACCTCTACAACATTTTTCAGCAATTTTCAGATTCACTTCATAATTTCTCAAATCTCGTTGAATCAATGCATCTTTGTTTTTAAGCAATACATTCAAATTAGCTAAAATTAAAAAAAAAACACATGAATTTTATTGATTCAATGAATTTGTTCGGTTTGCTTACCAGAAGCGGCTACAACTCTTCCAAGTACAACAACATTATTTTCATTTATTTTAACCATATCACCTTTCTTAATGCTCTTTGCATCATTAAGATTAGATGTTATACCAAGTATACGGTAACAAAATATGTCGTTAATACAAAAACGTAGTAACCAAAATAAATTAGTTGTTGTAACTCTGGCATCTGTAAATTTATAAATTAAACCAAAAAACATTATTCAATTATTCAGATTCAAATTCACTAACCTATTAGATCACTGCTTTTTTCTGAAAATGCATACGATTGATCTACAAATAAATTTATGACATAATTACAATTAAAAATGTATTTATTTAATTATAAAACTCACCCATTTTATCTGTATTAAGTAAATGCCTTATTATATAACTTTATACAATATTTTATTGTTTTAACTACGAAAATTATTAATCAGATGAACAATTTAAAAGGTGTACATGAGATATACACTGCGAAATATACGGAACAGCTGTGATGGAATGGGTTCAAAAATAATAAGCAAGAAAAATAAACGTTTTTGTCAAAGAAATTTATTAAACTTTTTCCTTTTAACATTCAACCTTTTACCTTTTAATTTTTTTAATGTATACTACTTCTTATGCAACCCAATTATCAGTAGTTCAAATAACCATATAGTAACAATTATAGCTAATATTAAATAAGGCAACAAATTGTAACTTTACTCTATTTACTTATTTTAATTAATTTAATGATTTTGGTACTATAAATGATCTATGAATTATTATTTTTTTTTAACTTCGTGTATATTAAGTTGCCTGTATTAAAAACTACATAATACATTTTATTTACTATAGTTGCGTAAATATCTACTTAAATAAGCTCAGAATTAAATATTTTCAATAAATTTAATTATAGTTTAATAAAATACTTTTCTTAACATTTACTTTTTTAATTGTCTTCTAATTCTTACTCTTTCCTTTCATATTGAATAAAAAGTAATAACCTTGAAGAATTTGTTTATGTCATAAATAACATAAATTCCTTACATTTATGCAAATATATATAGTATATAGAATGTATCCTAAATAAGTGTTGAAACCAAATCCATATGATCATAGGTTATAACCTTAAGGTGTAATCATGAAGTACATGAAATAAACCAACACTTTGTTTATTGTATTTAATTTTTTTATAATTAATTATAATCTTCGTAGGTAAAATTTAAACTAGATTAAATATTGCTCAGTTTATGATCAATATTGTTAAGAGGTTTGCTTGTAAAAGGCCATCGGCCATCATGTTTTGCATAAATCTATATGTAACAATCGTCAAAATTCTTATATTGGTATCAAGAAATGCCGGCCACTATTCCAACTATCTTTACAAGACGTTGCTTAACTTTTATAGCTAATTGTAGAGAAGTTCTGCCAGGAGCTCATTACAAAGATGAACTTTCTTAAAGTACTTTTTCTTTAGGTTTTCGTCTTTACCTATTTAATAAGCTTGTATGGTATTGATACAATTTTGGCAGTTTTAGTTTCATAAATGACTGAAAGTAATAAAATCATAACATGTTTAGTAACGTTAAGCTTTTTTTGTAGAAGAGAGCAAACTGTACATAGTGACCACAGTGGTACTGTGGGATTGTTACCGCACTAAGACTACTCCTTTTCTTCGTCAGCATACAAGACCTGCATCACTGTACTACTCTGCCATGCTGATTGTCCTTGCCTGTCTGGCACTTCCCTCTGATCACATATGTTAGAGCTGGCCTCCACTGCCACTGTCCTTGTAGGCCCTTTGCAGCCTTCGCTTGTCTTTACTCACTAGCACCTACAATCTCCCAACTCTCTGCACTCTTCAGCATTTCGCTGACAAAATTTTCCGGCTCTAGCAGAACTCCCAATTCTGCCTTGTGTTTCCTTCTAAGCCATTTGCAGCACCTAAAAAGCGTAGGACTATCGTCATCCTAGGAGTACCAGCACCATTCGTACTCCTTCTTTGCCATAAAGTGCCAATTTATCCATGGCCAGACAGCACTTGGCTCAGGTGAAATGTTGTTTAGCCGTGCTTATCCAAGGCTCTATTTGTGGGATTAGACGTCGAGTCCAGGCTCCCACCTGTGCCATTTATCTTGCCACTTTTGGAGCAGTCTGACTCTGGCATAAGTAACGTTAATTATATTTATACAACCAATCTTGCTTTTTAATATATGAAATTTTTAAAAACAAACAATAAAAAAATCATAAAAAGAACAACTTAGTTCATAAAACTTCTGTAAAAGACAAAACTGTAAATTTTAATTTTATGTTCTATAGACTTCTTTAATAAATTAACAACTATATCAAAAGTAAATATAAGTAAATTTTTAACAAATAACAAATAAATGAGAATTGTTATGCAAACAGTTTTTTTTTTAAATAAATATGCCTGTGTGTTCTATTTGCATCAACAATATTGTTTGAGCAGTTTCCAGAATGCATATAAATTACATTTATGATCTCTACTACTTCAAACCAGAAACGTGTAAACAAAACTAGATAAAGCGGATCTTTCCCGAAATATTTGATCCTTCTGTTTATGCTGTCACTTAGTTAATAAACAATATTTTTCAGTTCATTAAATATTTAGAGAATGACAAGAATTTAACAAAAACAAACCGTACTTTTACAAAATAAAAAACATAAACTAATATTTGCTGTAGATTTTACAGTTTTCTAATAATAAATCTAAATTATAAAAAAAAAACTTTCGAAAAAATAACAAACCCTAATCAACATACCAGAAATGTGTAAACAAAACTAGATTAAGTAAATCTTTCCCGAAATACTTGAGCCTCATATTTAAACTAACCAATATTTGTCAATAGACATTTTAGATAAAATTGATGGGAGAGCCGGTTTCGCGTTGATGCGGATGGAAAAATGCATACGTTTAATAAACATTTTCCACGAAGGTCGCACGTGCCATACACTCAAGTGTCGCACTTTACTTTTAATTCGCCACAATTGAATGCAGCCAGTGCACATGAATAGCTTAACTGTGCGTCCGCTCGTTTTCGAATCAAAGCAGTTCCATTTCGAAGCACTTTGATTAAATTGGATTGCCTCCGTTTATTGTTGTTGATGTTTATTTGAGTGAAACTGTGCGACATCCAGAAAGCAGTTGAAACATACGGCGAGGATGCAGACAGGAAAACAGGAAGGTTGGTCTTGATTAAAACGTTACGTTTCTGAATTGGCAAACAGTTTTCTGCCTCCCCGCACTTTCGCCGTTAAATTTGATTAATTGCATTCCTGTTTGTTGTCCGACCGCACCTGAATTTCCCCGTGCGAAATGAATATAACCAAAATTAGAAACGCACTTCCTTCGTCCTTCAAAACTAATTAATTACAAAATATATCAATTTAATAACATACATAACATAATTAATAAAGATATGTTTGCTTGAATAATGACATAAAAATACATAAGTATAAACATGAATTGAATTAATATTATTTAACAAAATACATATTTTAATCCATATACAATAAATTTGCTATACATTAATACCTCGCATAGTGCGGTTTTGTATCTGTCCGAATTGACTATAGTCCGGTTTTATATTTAAAACTAAACTTTAATTGAGCAAAATAATAAATTCTAAAAAAAATTAGTACACAAAATTATTAATATTTTTATATATAAATAAGTAAAATATTTATTGTGTGCTTTGAAAGTCCTCGATTAGTCTGGTTTCAAACAGTCCGCGATTTTAGTTTGTTAAGTAAAAACATGATTTATTTATTAATATTGTATATTGTGGAAATCAATCCTTGTCCTTAATTAAAGAAGTACAGAAGTACAAAATTTATAGCTTGTATCCAAATAATAAATAAATCGTTATAACTCACAAGTCGAGAAATAACCATTATTGTTCTGAATAAGGATAAAGTCCACAGCATTAAACTTTAATGTATTCATTAAAAGTAATAAATCATGAAGCGAACGCAATTTACTTAATAACGTTTTTAATTAACGTTGACCGTTATATCAACATTAACATTATATAACAACATAAATAGTGGAAACTAAATAAAATATTGAAAATTCAAATAAATAAATTAACAAATACACGAAATTGTTCATTTATTATAAATAAAAATTATTATTGCAAATATATTACATATATTTTTTTATTAATTTATTGAAAAAAGAAATCATGACTAATCGAGAAAACTAAATACATACAATCATAAATGGCACAAAATTATTTTATGTATGAATTTTTTTTAGAATTTATATTTAGTATTTAGTTTTTTTTTGATATTTTTAAATCTTATAGTCTGGACTGATCGAAGCTGCACTATGCGAGGTATTTATGTATTAACAAAAACAAATATAATTCAATTAGACTAAATATAAACTAAGTATGATAATATTAAGGAAGTTTGAGGTAAAACTGAAATAAACATTAACATTTCACAAATGGTTTTGTATTAGTTAAATATTCTTGTGTGCATTATGACTGCTAAAAAAGCTGACACTTGCATTCTTGAACAACATTTTTATCTAGTTCTCTAGTTACTCACATCTAGTAACAAATATAGTTGTATTATTTACATGGATTTATAAATTGAACAAACATTAATATTTTTAAGTATTTCATAATACATGCTTATTAATTAAAATAGACATTAATTAATTTATGTACTAAGTAAATAATAAAATATAAAAAAACACAAATATATTAAATCACACTTAAAAACCATTGTACTCAAAAACTTTTTCTTTTGGTAATGTTATAGTGAAAGTTATAAATATATTGATTGTTTATACAATATATTTATAGTTACTAGTTAGGGTTTGTCAATTTTTCTAAACTAAATTTTTAACTGGTTTTTCAATAAATTTTCAATTTTTATATATTTTGTCCTAAAAAGTAGATAATTAACTAATTGATAATATTTTGAACAAATAAAAAATAAGACAATTATATTAAATTGTTCTCAAAAACTTGTGCTTGTTTTTTCATAATTGATCCCGACGCTTGAAAACCCCACTATGTCAAAATCCCGACTACCATAATCCCGACAATCAAAATTCCGACTACCATAAAAATGTTATTGTAGAAAAGACACTGTCGGGATTTCAATATAATCGGGATTTTGATTCTCGGGATTTTGACATAGTCGAGATTTCGATATAGTCGGGATTTAGAACGTCGCGACTTTGAGCCAGCCAGGATTTCGAACGTTGGGATTTCGATACACTCGGGACACTCGATACACAAAATTTCCAAATTTTTACTCGTATAGTGAAATAACAACAGGAACTGTTTTCGTATTCACACACGGTGAATTGAGTTTATATTTGTTTATATTACTTGTATCAATCCGGGATTTTAGTGGAATATTTGTTTATATACAAAAGCGTAGATAGTGTGCTTATATATTATAACAAGTGGGGCTCGGGAGCCACATGCGGCTCTTCAAAAGTTTTATTGTGG